TCCGTCTCAAAAAAAAAAAAAAGGAAAAGCTGATGAATTTATGTGTGTTAAAATTAAGAATTTCTATTTAAGTGGGCCGGGCGCGGTGGCTCACATCTGTAATCCCAGCACTTTGGGAGGCCGAGGCAGGTGGATCACGAGGTCAAGAGATCGAGACCATCCTGGTCAACGCGGTGAAACCCCGTCTCTACTGAAAATACAAAACATTAGCTGGGCATGGTGGTGCGTGCCTGTAATCCCGGCTACTCAGGAGGTTGAGGCAGGAGAATTGCCTGAACCCAGGAGGCGGAGGTTGCGGTGAGCCGAGATCGCGCCACTGCACTCCAGCCTGGGTAACAAGGGCGAAACTACGTCTCAAAAAAAAAAAAAAAATTTCTATTTAATAAAGGAAGATATAGGCAAAGTTAGCAGGCAAATGACAGATTAAAATATTTGCAACATCTAAAATTGCCAGGTGATTAATAGACAGGCTATATAAACAGCTCCTGCCAAGAAAACAAAAAAGAGAAAATAATCTGCTTCCCAATTGAGAAAGAAGATATACAGAAATGAGGACTCAAATGGCTAATGTGAAAATAATTTAAATGAAAGCTACCGAAACTTTAAAGTACTGACCCTTGAATGAAATGTGATTGATTGTAAGATCTACATCATGTGGCAAGCCACTGAAACTTTTATGTCTTTGAACTATAGATTAAGTCTCTTTCTTATTTTTCTTGCCCTGTAAAATGCTGTGAAAGATTAAATGGTGCCCCTTTCCTCTTCAGTTACTAATTCTTTGTTATAGATTAATGTCCTGCCTTTTTCACGTACCCAGCTCAAACCAGACAGAAAAGGCCCCACACCTACCAAATTGATCGAGATACAATTTTAAATATATCTTTTCTGAAAAAGAACAAGCTGTAACCAACCAACTGTTTTAACTCATAAATCAGCATTGTATTTAAAATTTGGTAATACTCTTAAACTTCTTTGCTTCTACTTATATAAGCAAAGCCTTAGCTTCTCCATTTCAGAGCACAGACCCAATTACTTTGGAATTTGTTTTTTCTGGGTGGC